ATGCATAAAGCATACATTACGCTTAGTCGAAATTAGAAAACTGCAACCAGAAAACTATTTGATGTGTATTCGTGATATTTATAATGACGAGGAATTTGATTTAAATCATATCAAAGACGGAATATATATCGAGATGAAATACTAAATTTAGTAAGGAATTATAAGTCGAACAAAATAAAAACATCTGCCCTGAAGATAAGGATAGTGGTGACAGATCAACTTCCAGTTCATTGCGCACCGTGACGTCCCCCCCCACCACAGAGCAGCGTGAAATTGATAAACAGATTTCGGCATGGTTTAATAAACAAAGGATATGCCTTTATCCATTTTTTGCAGCAATTCCACTTTTTGTTTGATGGACATCGAAACATGCTTTCGCTTCGTAGATCCTTTGGCAGCTCCAGAATCGGAAATTCTTTTTGACATAATCGAAAATTCAAGCTTACTTTTATAAAATTGCTCCAACAGTCTGCAAAAAATAATAAGACGAATCCAATTAGAAGATTAAGGAACAAAGCAATCTGCAACGTTAACTGAAATAGATAATTTTAGCTTAGCTTATACCGTCCGTTATACTTTAAATGCGCAAACGCATATGTGCAAGCGTAAAGGTATTATGCGCATTTCTGCGCATGCGGAACCGCATTATGCATTTATGAATGCGCAGAAAGTTCGTAGCTTTGAGGTCCTGATTATAGACCATTCCGGATTATGGACGTCCAGATTAAAGACTTTTGACTGTACTTCACAACATAAGACCACATACTGCTGTTAATATGAGGTAGGCCACCCTTCATACTTTTATGATTTAGCATCACAGGACTATTTTCTTTTCCAAAACTGAAATCTGCTATAACATGGCACCACTTTCCTCATGCAGAAGTTGTTCAAAAAGTGTGACAGAGGAATTTTGACATATATCTTCAAATAACTAAAAAAATCTGTTTCAACATCTTGTACAGTCAAGTCTTTAATCCAGACGTCCATAATCTGGAATGATCTATAATACGGACCTCAAAGCTACAAACTTTCTGCGCATGTGCAGAAACTGGAATGAACCGCACAATGAACTGGAAGTTGATCTCTCAGCACTATCTTCATCTTCAGGGCAGATTTTTTTATTTTATTCAGCTTATAATTCCTTACTAAATGTATTGTTTCATCTTGATGTACTCTGATATAATTTAAATCCATTTCCTCTTCATTATAAACATCACAAATACACATCAAATAGTTTTCTGGTTGCAATTTTCTAATTTCGACTATGTGTAATGTATGCTTTACGCATGCGCACGTTGAAAGAAACGTTTAACAAAGTAAACAAATATATATTAAGCCCCCCCCCCTTTTTTTTTTTTTTTTTTTTTTTTTTTTTTGTAAATTTTGATACCCTTTATATCATAATTGCTCTTTTTTTTCATAAATTACGGTTTCGTATTTTTAACTTTATAATTTCTGCATGCCATCTTACCAGATTTAAACTGATGATCTATAATCCAGGAAAAACTATAATCTGGAATTGCCGAAGTCCCGATGATTCCGGATTAGACCTTTTGACTGTACAATCAGGCACTAAAGCATATAGATGGTGGAAGTGAATATTTTGTAGAATGCCATAGTAAATTTCCATTTTCATTATTTGCTTCTTGTTACTAGCATCAGTACTGGACGTTTCAGACACGTAAGAAACTCTGCAACTGATCTAGGATCAAAATTTACAAACATAAATTGTATAGCCACCTTTATTTTGAACAATCTTAAAATTCTATTTCTAATAAACAGCTATTTCTGAATGTGTACAAAACAAAGAAATCATAAAATGAAATTTTAGATAAAAAGAAAAGTTGCATGCTATAATAAATCTTTCTAAACTATTTACTCTACATATGTACACGTGTATCGTGAAATATGCGAACACAAAAATTAAATTTCTTTTAATTCCATTTTGTAATGAAAATATTTTAAGGCGATTAATTTGATTAAAGACCTAAATTCTACACTCATGTCCATAAATTAAGGATAATTCGGAGTCACGCGGAAATCGAACTCTAAAATAAATATATCACCTGTAAAATCACTACACACATCTTCAAAAATCATATGCAAATTTCCGGAAGTAACCAGATGACACCGATGCTACGTCATAATGACGAGAGTGTAAGAGAGTGATATATAAGGAATACAGGCAAAGAAGTAAAATTGTTCGCAGGCGCTTTATAAGCATTTCAGTGCAATAACCGAATAGTTATGACACAAAGGGCGCATTTGGATGATTTTTTACGTGGTAGAATTATCGGCCGTCTGGGATGTGGGTGTACCCTACTGGAAGTATCAGACAAACTTGGAATTGCCCACAGTGTCATCTCCAGGCTTTGGCAACGAATCCAAGATGATGGTAATGTGAGTAGACGTTACAGCACAGGTCGCCCCAGAGTTACAATACTGAATGAGGCCGGTATTTGGCAGTTACTGCCAAAAGAAACAGGCGGAACACAGTCTCAGACCTGTCTCGTCAGCTCTCTTCAACCACTGGTACGACAATTTCAAGGCAGACCGTGTACAGACGCTTAGGGCAGATTGGTCTATATGCTCGTAGACTGTCAGATGCGTTCCACATACTGCAACTCACTGTCGCCTGTGGTTAGCCTGGAGTAGAGAGCATGCATTGTGGACACCGCAACAATGGGCTTGTGTGATGTTTTCCGACTAGCCCAGGTTTTAGTTTATATTCTGATTCTCGCCGGACTTTCACATGGAGAGCTCCAGGTACCTGTTACCACAAGAAAACATCATTGAAGTCAAGAAGAAAACATCATTGAACGACACCGTTACGGTGGTGCAGGAGTGCTCGTTTGGGGTGGAATTATTCTGCGTTCCAGAACTGACCTGCATGTTCAAATTGGACATGCAATTGCATGCTTAAATGACAAGCCAAATCATTGGGACGTCATTCTGGAACAACATGTACATTTGTTTCGGGGGGCTATGGGCGCACAATTTGTGTTTATGGATGACAACCCCCGTCCTCACTGTGCAAACATCGTAAGCGAATGCCTTCAATCGGAGGATATCACCCGTATGGACTGGCCAGCATTCTCACCGGACTTAAATCCAGTAGAGCACGTGTGGCACATGCTTGGCCGTGTGTTTATGGATGACAACCCCCGTCCTCACTGTGCAAACATCGTAAGCGAATGCCTTCAATCGGAGGATATCACCCATATGGACTGGCCAGCATTCTCACCGGACTTAAATACAGTAGAGCACGTGTGGGACATGCTTGGCCGACGAGTTGCAGCTCGTCAACCTCCTCCTACATGTCTACCGGAACTTAAGAGAGCATTGCTTTTTGAGTGGTGTAATATCCCCCAAGATTAGATCGATAATTTGATACTCAGCATGCCTAGGCGTTGTACAGACTGTATTGCATCATCTGGGAGACATACGATGTATTAACAATCATACCAACAATGTAATATTGGTTTTTTGTAAATAGGTTTTTTTTTTTTTTTTTTTTTTTTTTTTTTTTTCAATTTGCTCCAGGAAGAAAAAGTCGCTAATTTTTTTAATAATATCAAACATATAGCATCTTTTTTTGCTCTTTACCTTTTGTTTAATAAATAAGCTTTACAAATAAGTCAAATCTGTTTTGCTTCTAAGTCTTCCTTTGCCTGATTTTGCATTTTCCTTAATTTATGGACATGAGTGTATTTTGGAAAGCTTCATAATTTTCTAAATTTCAAATTATGTTATGCATAAGAATAGATAGCATCTGTTTGCTTATGTACAACCTGCATAAATAGAAAATCTTATTTTTTTCACACTTAACTACTTAAAGGCTTTGATAAAAAGTAATGGCAATATTGTTATGTCAAGACAGATGTTCCATTACATGGTACTATGCCGCAAACAGTCAAATGAAGGTACACAGTGAGCAGTAATAATTGTACTTCATTCAGTTGCACTATGAGATAATAATAGGTGAAGTAAATGTTTACAAAGCCGGACAAATGTCTTTGCAGAAAAATTGAAGTTGCATAAGGTCACAGTGCACAAAATTGCACTATATCTGCAAGAACGATTAAAAGAAACTTAGTAAACATCTTGCATTCAAATCCTTTCAAATTTTGTGCCATAAAATCCACTACCACCATCACATCTTATATTCAGTAATGTTAAAGGAAACACACTCAATTAAGATTGTTCATGACAATATCAGTTTAACCAGTAATCTTTCCAAATTATACAGCATTACCTAGCTACAAGCACATTCATTCCTTCACCTGTTGCTAGTGATATCACAATCACAATGTCAAGGATTTGTTCTTCAAGTGCTTCAAAGCTTATTTGTTATACTCAAAAAAAAAAAAAAAAAAAAAAAAAAAACAGAACTTCTTGGTGCCAAATTTCATTATCATCTATGATAATCTATAATAATGTATGGTGTCATAATGCAAGCGCAATAGTGATGTGCAAGCAAGCAATAGTGATGACAGGAACTACCAGAATACCCCCCATACTGCTTTGAGTTCATATGACTGTGTTCTCTTCAGCAAAATGGGGGGGGGGGTTATTGCAAAGAATCCATTACAACAGAAGAGAGGAGGAATGTTGCAGGATGATCACTGCAAGACATTAACAGAAATGATGGATATGGTGATAGTGTATGACACATTCTAGTAATTTGGAAGAAGGTGATGGACACATTGCACGCAGTTATACTAATAGATTGTATATATTACTCTGGCAATATTTTGTACACTAACAGATTATTTATAGGTTGATTATACAGATTATTTATAATATTTATTACACTATCAGATTGTATTTATTACTATGGTAATATTTTCAGAGTTATTGGCATTTTGTCATTACTTTTTAGCCAGCTCTTGTATATCATTGTGATATAGCAAAACAATTTTAAATATTATTTAACACCATTTATCATGACTGAAAGCTAAGTAACCTAAACAACAGAAAATTAAAGTGAATTTATTTACCCATTTAGATGAGGAGCAGGCTGAGTAGTTCTGCAAAGAAATAAAATAAGTTATTAATATTATACATATAAAATATAATTGTATATATATATATATATATATAATAAAATTATATACAAATTTTCATTACCTAAAATATTTTATAAAGAATAGTCACTTTTACACAATTAATTATTCTTCAATATCATTACATATGGGCTAAGAATTAAAAAGTTAAACATACAAAGAAGGTTCAAAGCTTTTTCATTAAATTTCCATTTAAAATAATGTCAAAATGAATCTCCAAATTTAATCTGAAGCACAAAAGGTGTATTTTAAAAGTATTAAAGGCCTCGACATATCAGTGAGTCTTCCAGAAAGAGTTAACAAATCTTCAATAAATAAATAAGAATTTTTTAAGCATTATAAAAATTACTTTTGTGATATAAAAACTTAGACAAATCAGTCAGTCTTTTAGAAATAATAACAAATCTTGCACTAGGAAAATACTTCTCATGTAATACATCATAATTTGAATAACATTTCAAAAGGCTATAATTAGATCTGAATATTGCAATTCTTTGTATAAAACTAATGTTTTATAAAGTCTACATATAAAACTAATATATTAATAATAAATCTTTTTACTACTGCATCACTTCTCAATCCAGAAATTTAAAAATGTTTATTAACGATATTTATCATAACCAGTTTTTTGTGCAATCTCTGCATCAATAAATAAATAAAATGAGAATTTTTAAGGGATTATAAAAATATTTGTAATATGTGCTATCAAAAACATTTCATACTAGACATATTTATAAATACTATACATATACAAGAATACCTTTTCAATTAATGCTTTAAACAAAATGCAATGTTTAACAGACTTTTTTGTTTATGATTTAAGCAATCATAACATTCTACTATTAGGTCTTATTTCAATGTTTCAGATGGATTAATTCTAAAAAACAGATTTTAATGCATAATATTCACATGAACATTACAGTATTTAAAATAATTTCTGAATTCCATCTTTTTCCCAAAACTAAAATGTTACAAATGTCACACAAAAAATGGCCACCTATTTAAAATGAAATGTAAAATCATCTTACATGAAAAATTGAGACCCATTTGAATCCTTTCCTCTGTTTGACATGGACAATAAAAATGGTTTATCATGTGGAAGTTCGAAATTTTCATCTGAAATAAAAAATATATATAAAATAAATGCTAATTACATATTTAATATTAAAATGTTAAAAATTGAAATAATTATGTAGAGTCATAAAAAATATTGAAATATCGAATGCCTGATACATGAAAATTCTGCATGGTTGAGTGAAGAAAACCATAATTCAAGGTAGCAATTCTTGAATTATGGTTTTTCTTCACTCGACTAAGCCAAATGAACAGAAGAAATTTTGGTCTAAAATATTATAGAAACAATCACTTTATTTGTTATCAAAAGTCTACACTTAAAATTATGTTAGATTATGGTTTAAAAAAAAAAGCTTTTACACATAAAAGCAGATATATTTTTGCAGGCCTTAAAAATATAAAACATCTTAACTGATTATAAAAATCCTGTCAACTATGAAAGCTGGGACATCTCAGCAAACTTGCATCATCCATACCAAAGCCTGAAGGAACAGACTCTTTTTATTTAATTATCAACAGGTTACAAGTTAAAAATATAGCCTACGCCACGAAGGCACGCTAGGAAGGCAGGATAAATACCTTAACGTTTTCACAACTGCTGCAAAAAGGTCGAATTCTGCGAGTAATTATGAGTCGTTAAGATGCCGTGATACGATGCTTTCACAACCGAAATATAACCTAAGAAAGACGCAATAACGACGTCTGTGCGATAAAAACCTCATCTGCAAAGACATCCTTGCAACGGTTGCAAAACAGTAGAGTTTCGCGGACATATGGGCGTCTTAAAGACAACATATTGCAATGTGCCGTGCTACTTGGGTATGTTTTGTCTTTCTTTACAAAACTAAACGTGCTTAATCAGAATTATGCAGGTTTAAAAAAAAAGTACCACAGTGATCTTATGATTGTATGTGATGTCAGTCTCATCTGTTATTGTTGATAAATTTCATCATTGAGCAAAAGATTTTTAAGTGTTGAAAATGGTTCAGTATGAAAGATGCCTGTAAGGAGTGTCCATTTCTAAGTGCAAATTATTGGAATAGTAAAATGAATGCAAGAGAATGTGGAGGGCAACAACACCTCCTGAAAAAAGGCTGTGTAACTGCCTTTCACATTTTACATGTTATATGCAGGAAGCCAAGTAGTAGTCCCTATACTTGCTTTAAAATTCTTTTTACGGGTACAACTTTAGGTTAATTTTTTTTTAAAAAAATATCCCAGTTATTTAAGCTTTCTGGTTAGCTGAATGTCATACAGTTAGGTTTCTACAATACTTTCATTTGTGTTTTTTTTTTTTTTTTTTTTAAATAAAATACCCAGCTATTTGATACTTCTGATTAGCTGAATGCCATATAATCAGACTTTTACTATAAACTTAAAAATACTTACAAGCAAAATAACTACTATAAAAAAATGTAATAATTATAAAAAAGTTAGCACAGGAAATCTTATTGTTTGATTTACTAGAATGATAGAAAAACCATTAAAAATTACTTTAAATTTAATAATATTGTTGCATTCTATGAGCTGACTAAAAATTAGACTAAGTCAAAAACCACACTAAGTCAGCAGATAGAAAATGGCTCTCTCAATTATTTAATAATGAAGAATCTATATGTATGTACATATATTCCTCGTATTATGGGAAAATGATGGCATCTAGCCATTAAATCTTAATATAATCCTCTACCCAAACATGTGCAACTTGAAAACTGAATTTTTCACTTTTGTTTTTACTTCCTTGTACAAAGTAAAAGACTAAGATCAGGTAAATTAAAGTAAATCATTCAGAGTCATAAGATCTACAGCTCTACGTATGAAATAAACAATTATAACCACAATACATGGCTTTAAATTCAACAAAAAAAAAATACAAACTAAAATTACGAGATAAAATGAAACAAATAAATAAAAAATGCATATCATTTAACAATACATCAACCCAAAATATAACCAAACTGAAATATTTACAAAAATTTACAACAGTACCATAATTTATTTCATTTAAGTTTATTCCTCATATAAGTCAGACAATTTGAAATCTTAATGAAATATTTTACAAACCTGCAATTTCTAACAAATTAAAATGAATTCTTACAAAAAACTCTCAATATCACAGGTCCATAGTATTAATATATAAACTATTTAATTTAGGCAAAGCACATAAAGACTAACTGCGCAAGTCTACAAAATTTTGACTCAAGTTGTTCAAAAGATAAAAACTAAAGGGTTCTACACTTCTCTTTAAATTTTCAGTCTTAAAGAACACAGAAAATAGGATGTGTCTTCTTTGGCATACATAAATGCACCTTTTAAAAAATATTTTCTTACAACAAACATAGAAGCTACAGATTACACCCTCATCCGATTTTCTTTGTTATAAAATATCAAGTTTGCATGTATACTTTACAAATCCTTTCTTACTGTTTTTATGCTAATAAAAAGGCTAAAGGATCTTTTTTTGACCAACATAAATTTCCTTACATTATCTTCTGCAAAGTATTTTGTGAATCTGTCAGTAAGCTTTGAAAGGTGTTCCAAAAGAAGGGACAGCAATTCCTATAGAATAATGCCTTTATTAGAAGTTGTGTATTGGTACAATGTAGAAAAATAATGCTGAGCACCAACGTCATTAAATTTTTTATCCACAGCAGCAATTTTTTTCCTAAATGCTGAAATCTTTTCTACAAGTTTCAAGGTGCACATACATTGCCCTGTAGTGACAGATTCAAGACCTTTACTTTGTCAAAAATACCGACCTAATATGGTAATGTCAACAAAAAAGTCTGGTTCAACAAAATACATAGCGATCACACAACCTTCACAGCCGCCCAGACGATTTAGTGGTTAGGGGAGCCTGGCTGATACCAAAGGGCGCAGCTTCAAATCTTGAGAAGGTATGGATGGAATTCACTGTCCCTTCATAGGAGGTAACGGTGGCTGCCTATTAGATCATCTACAATAAAATGGCCACCACTTCTGACCTTAGTAATGGCCAATGCTGGTACAGGCAAGTGCCTCCAATAGGGAAGGGGGAAAAGACCTTCGTCTTGCAGAAAAGTGTGAATTCTTGATGCAGTTAAAGCGTGCAAGACAGGACGCTGTTATGCAAAAACCATTGTGAACTGCAATACTATAGCAAAGACGCGTGCTCAGTTTCCATATACTCGCATAGCTTTATCAGGACTTGTATTCCTTTTAATCTGTTTTGGGAACATGATGTGTCCTGAATGAGAACAGGGAGCTTACTCAAGCTATGTTCAAATAGGTGTGGAATGGACAACACAAGCAGGAAGGGTTAATTTTAGCCTTTGTTTTCGACAATATTACAGGTGATCCCGTATTTCGGGATACAGAGACCAACCACTTGTGGTCTAAACATAAAAATATAAAACTACTCACTAAAATTTTAAATAAGAGCTGACTTTGTAAAGTTTACACAAATACCTAAGATTGGCCTTTTAAAATATTACGTATGTAGTACGCAAACTGATCCTGAGCTGATTGTGCTATCTCAATCAGTACTGCATTTAATACCAGAACTTTTTTTTTTTTTTTTTTTTTTTTTTTTCCCCCATGCCAGACTTTGATAACATAAAAATGAATCTTTGCTTAAATTTATGCTTAAAAAAAGCTTAATTATGCAAATAATTTTCTTTTGAAACGAAGAGATTAATGCTTAAAAATGCTTGTCTATATGTAAATACAATATACACATTACACAGAACCAATTACCATGTCACTGATATAATTCAAAATGCATCAAATAAATTATGTACAAAGAGTATAAAAGTATTCTCACTTTTCTTTTATTGTAACTGAAACAGTAAACCTCTCCTCAAACAGCTTATAAATAACTGGTAATAAACATGTAACTTCTATACATAAACTATTTTAGCATCCAGTAAGTAGATAATAAATTATATAGTGATAAATAATAGGCTACACAGTTAAAACAAACTTATGCTATCAAAAAACAGCATTATATTCTAAGTTATCTTTATAACTAGTTTTGTTGTAATGGTTAAATAATATACAATAAATAACTGATGAGAACTATGACTTCAGAGATGCAATTTCCTTTATTTTGAAGACTTTAAATAGAACTGAGTTTAATTTATCAATAAAAAATTACCTCATCTTGTCTCAAAACCGTATAGAATGTCCTCAGAATCTTTTAAAAACCAATATAATACATGGGCTAGTAAGTAATTTTTTTACTGCTTATCACAGACAAATTACAGAACTTTAAGACTCTCTGTAAGATATTTTTGGTTTGCATATGAATTACTTAGCACAATAAACATAAGCATATAAATATGTATCTAAAAACTTTTTTTGAGATATTGCACTCATCATTAATACACAAACAAATCCTACATTTGTTTCTAATAACGATTAAAATGTATTAGTTGCGTGGGAATTTAACTGCTTTTGAAATGCGTCAAATTCAAAAAAAATTAATGCTTAGGAAAGCAATTTGTTCTTAAAAATAAATTATGGATATATTATTTACAAAAAAACTATTCTAATCCTGAACACAGTTCTTCATTTGTATGTCACTTTTTGTAAACTGAGACATCATTCAAGTCACAAAAATAACAATAATAGTTGTATACCTATGATTGCTATTTTTGAACCAGAACATTTACATTTACAAGCCTCTTCTCTCCAACGATAAACCAGCTGAAACAGTACACAAACAAATGCAAATATTTGAATTAATTCTGCAGAGTCAGACTTCATATGGTCAGACTTAACAAATAAGAGAGAGCATTGCTGGACTTAAAGTCACATGGAACAGACATAACCAAAGTCTGCTGAACATAATTCTAGTAAAAAAGCTAAATTTTGTATTTCAGGTTTAACAAGTTGGAATCATGAAAAATGACATAAAGCCTTCAGAGCTTCAAAATGTGACAAAAAAATCTCAGCTCACACTGATAGCTTTCATTTAAAACAAATTAACAGCTTCACTTCCTGTTGAAAATTCAAAAGCTGTACATTTTCCACATATTCATATTATGGAACTGACTGATCCTCTCTTTGATGCGCCAGGTATAGTATTACCAGGTAAAGTAGCAGTCATTAAAACTAGGTTTAATTGCATGAAATTCAATAACATTAATCTAAGGCATCAAAATAACACAAAACTTTAAAATATACACACTGCAGAAATATATACAAATAGATGAATAAATTAATGCACCATTGTGCGAATTGTTTTCTGGCCTTTTGGGGGAAGGATGTACAAAAATGCTTGTTTTCTGAGGGGGGAATACTAATTTCATTCAATATTCTGAAATTTAAATATCAACTTGTGTAACGATATAAGGAAAAAAACAGCAACATGAAGAAATGAAATATACTTATGACAAATACAAATATGAATAAAATGTACCTTTAAATTGGCCTCCATAAATAGATTCCCCACTAGTTCCATTACCTAAAAAAGAGAGTCATTCAATAATTTAAAATGTTACTACATAAACTGAATGTAGATAAAAACAAAAGTATATGTAATTACAAAGTAAGATAAAAAAAAGAATATTATTTACAGATCATTAAAAATTATTTATTGACACTAAGTATTTGTAAGTTTTATGACACGAAAGATTCCTACAGAATACAATCTCAACTATGTCCTCTAAGAGATTTAGTATTCCAAATAATTTCAAGTAATAATGCACATATAAATTACTGATTTAAGTGTTTGTAACATGATGAGATTTCAACTCGAATTTTTCTCAATTTTTTACAGAATATAAAAATTAGTAAATGTTTTATTCTTTTTTTTGCAAAAATCACATTTTTACTTAGAGGTAGTGAGATTAAATTTCCCTACAAACAAAGTATTTATGGGTAGATATTTTTTAGAGAGGGGGGAGACTAACTTTTCTTTACATGTTATATTATCTATTTTCTAAGATCTGGTACAATTAACAGATAATTCTGCACTTTTCTCATCATAAACCAACTTTCACAAAAATAATGCTTTTAAACACATACGTAGTAATAAATTTAAAGAGCAGTTCTTTTCTTTCATGTTAACTTAACTACTTGACAACTTTAAATAAAAGTAACAATATATAGAAATACATCATGAGGATGCAGAAAGTAAGTTTTCTTCATATCCACAGATGGCACGCATGCATTTTCAGAAATACAGTGCACGTGCGGGACAGGCTTCCAACACAGCAGTAGATTGGCATTTCCCAATTGGTTACTTAGTGGCTGTAGCTCTTATTCCAATTCCCGCCTACAGCCAAGTTCAGTCTGTAGTTATGTTTTTGAATGCACATCATCAGTTCTGTATGATGCACAGGCTAGAACAAACAGGTGGTGCATCACTAATGCAGGAAATTTTTAAAAGGTTGACAAAATGTGCATAATCAGAAACAAAGCATGCAGCCATCGATCTTTACAGATGATCTTGTGAAGCAAACGTAGTGGTGTATTTTGAAGAACTATCACATTCCACTTACATTACTCAACATCCATTTCTCTCAGTTTCTTGCTTCTTGTTGCATGAAATAGTTATGAAGCACCTGTTTTCCAGAACTGAGTGCTATATACCAGGTGACTGCTGCTAACATCCAAACATAAAGCAAATAGTTGAGCTCAACTAGGACATTCAGAAAAACAAACTGGGCAGAATACATCTCTCTTCAAGCACTCCATGTTCAATTCATTGGACATATGTTGTTGCTGTAGTATATCATTACAGCTTCAGTAGTATTTCTCCTAAATCTATTTGAAAATTTTGGTATTGCAAGCAAATTCCATCTCATGAAACTAATACTGATAGATGGTCAACAGTTTCAGTGCCAACAATTTGTAATAGCATTCCTTGTCATTATAAATATCACAAATAAACATCAAATAGTTTTCTGGTTGCAATTTTCTAATTCCGACTATGCGTAATGTATGCTTTACGCATGCGCGCATTGAAAGAAATGTTTAATAAAGTAAACAAATAAATATTAAGCTTTTTTTTTTGTTTTTTGTTTTTTGTAAATTTTGATACCCTTTAGATCATAATTGCTTTTTATTTTATAAATTACGTTTCATATTTTTAATTTTATAATTTCTGCATGCCACCTTACCAGATTTAAACTGATGATCTATAATCCGGAAAAACCGATAATCTGGAATCGCCGAAGTCCCGACGAGTCCGGAGTAAAGACTTTTGACTGTACAACATATTGAAGGCATGTCTAAAAGTATTCACACATGCCTACAGTGAAAAATGCAATGTCATTTTGGGGGGCACCCTAATATTTAAGCTTATGGAAATTACATTGCTTTCAACCTAAAGTAAAGCAGAATTCTACTTAAGTCACCTTTTAAAGTTCAACATTAAATGTTACACCATACATGAAATATTTTTAAGATATACGCATATTAGTTTATTTAAATCAAAGGACATCAATTTCAAATCAAGTTACTCCTCATGTAATGGAAATATTTAATGATTGCATTATTTTCTGTGTAAAATTCACTTTTAAAGTTGCAATAAATTTAATATAACTGCACACCATGCTTTAAGTGCATATTTTTAGATAAGCTTCAATATGTGATATAAAAAGTATAGAATTAGCACCCCACCATTTTGGCATGAAATGAATCCCAAACATATTAACAATTTTTTATTCACACTTTTTTTAATTTAAACAAATAAGTCATTTTTACAATGCAGTATGTACAATTCTTCCCGGAATGCACAATTTTTATATCCAGCAGTTTTATAACAGGAGATTAAAAATGCACACATTTATAAAATAATATTTAGACTTAAAATATCACATACATCTTAGATCTTTTAAAAAGTATAATTTTCCCTAAGCAAATTTCAGTTATAAATGATAATGTATGTAACTTCTGATATTATTTTTTTTCTGCCTGATATCAAATCACACAACTATACAATTTATTCTGCTAATTAGTGCCACTGCAAGACAAGTCAGCAGAAAATACTACACTTGAGAGAGAAAAATAACTTAGTATGAATAAATTACCAGCCACAAAGTCTCCACCCTGTATCACAAAATTCTTGACAACACGATGAAATGGAGATCCCTTGTAATGCAAGGGTTTATTGGTTGTCTTCCCGAGGCCTTTCTCCCCTGCAATAAATTTTAAAACATTCATTAATCTTAAGGCTTTCATTAATCTTAAGAGATATCTTTTTCATAAAGATCATCATACATGATTTGAAAACTTAATTTACATACTAAATAAACCAAACAAATTATACAAGAAATGAATGCACTGTAAACAGCACACAATAATTTATAAAACAATCGTAAAAAATATTCCAAATTCATTTTCTGTTATTAGATAATAAACAAGATTTTACTGATAAAATTTTGACATTACTGAAGCAACTGAAAATGATCAAACATTATTTTCAGTTATATCTTTGCAAATGGAGCAGAATAAGAATACCTTTTCATTAGAACACAATGAGCTTGCTAGTTTCTATATACATTTAGACAACATAAATTCGGTGTCTAGCAATATCAATTTTGTTTTAGTTAGTAATTTTTGCAAAAATAACCTTCTTACTATTGTGTTATTTCAGATGTTTCCTTCAGAAAAAAAAGTAATAGAATAAAAACTTCTAAACAATTAATTCATACTATCACTTTAATATACATCTCATAGCACACTTTTGTCCAGCAAGGTAATCTGATATTTCTATAAACTTCTTACATGTTAAAAAGGTTGCATGCTTTCATTAGAAAGCAAATACTTTTCCATTTTGGTATCACTGGCTCACGATCAGATTCTGATGCAGTAAAAGCATTTCTACAGGATTCATACTTTTTTTTTAAATGGAAATTAAAGGCTTCTAAGAAGATTTAATGAATAATGAAGATAAAAAATTAAAGAAAATATCCAGACAACACTTACATTATAGTAATACTATTCTAAGAATGAAACAGAAGTATATAGAATGTAATTGTCAGAGATACAGAACATCTGCATTGAAAAAAAAATGAAATTTTCACAAAAATAAGAAGATGAAAATGAAAACTTATTCAAAAAAATATGTAATACAAATCTCTTTCTTTTTTTCCCAAACTTACAAGAAATCAAAAAAATTACTACAATAATATGAAAAAAATTAACTGACAGCTAACATCACTGTAGTTTCCTTTAGATTGTTTTGTAGCTATAACTATGATGTTAAAGGTACTAAAATACAATGTAACCAAAAAATTCTTGCCATTTCTGATATGATATTGGAAATGCCATTTCTGATATGAAATTGGAAACCCCAACATAAAAATAGTTGCCAAACCTGGCAACCTAGCAATGAAGTGGTTAGGATGGGAATCCGGACATTGACCAAGAGTATAAAAGCGTGTTGCATCGTAACGTCAAACATAACTCACACAGCAACTGATTGAAATGGACGCGTCAAAAGCACTCGTTCAGAGTTGTTTGCTGTATGATTTTAAAGTGAGCCTGTCAGCAGCAGAATCAAGTCACTGAATTTGCCAGGCCTTTGAGGATGATGCCGCTAACGAACGAACCATTAGGCAATGGTTCCAGAAGTTCAGGTCAGGGAATATGTCTCTTAGTGACGCACCACGCAGCAGCCAGCCACAAGCGCTGGACGATGAGGCCCTGAGAGCAGCCATAGAGAGCGACAATAGCCAAACATGTGGTGAGCTTGCTGCACACTTCCAGGTATCTCATGATGATCAGACTCCATTTCCACGGCATAGGAAAGTCATACAACCTGAGCAAGTGGGTACCCCCACTCATGTGCATTGCAAACAAGCAACAGCATGTTTGTCTTTGCTTACTTGGCACCACAATGCATCCATATTTAATCGAGTTCTCACCAGCAATGAAAAGTGGGTCCAGTATGACACACTCAGGCTTTCCAGACATTGGTTGTCACCACGGAACCATGTGCATCATGCTGCGAGATCTACTCTCCATCCACGCAAGATCATGCTCTGTATCTGGTGGACTAGTGGCAAAGTGGTACACTATGAGCTCCTGCCAGAGGGCTAAACCATCACGGCAGGCCTGTACTCGCAGCAGTTGGAACGTGTATATCAGGCAATGATGCACAAAGAGCCAGCATTTCAATTGTAAGGGTGTACTCCTCCTCCATGACAATGTGAGGCCGCATGTGGCTCAGGAGGTCAGGGACACAAGCTAGGAACTGGGATGGAAGACACTACCCCATCCAGACCTTGTGCCAACAAACTACCATTTTTTCATTGCCTTGAGCAACCATCTTCATGGGAAATCCTTCAACGACCGGCCAGATCTTGAAAAGGCCCTCACGGATTTCTTTGTATCCAAGTCTCCAGAGTTTTACCATGATGGCATCGCACAGCTAGCCACTTGGCAAAAGGCACTAGATGCCAATCATGATTACTTTGAGGATTAGAGGCGATTATTATTTGTTTTATGAATTTTTCTTTCTGGCTGTCCAAAACGGCAAGAAATTTTTTAGTTGCCTTGTATCTCTTAACATCTATGCTGTTAACAGCACTATGATACTTTGAACAGCAGCTATAACAGAATGTTATTGCTTTAGAAAACTGTAAGACTCAATGTGTTTTGATCAAAATACTGTAAGAAGTTGTTTATAAAACTGATTGTATACATGTATGATGCAACTTGTCTTTTAGAATATCTTTAAAAAAAATGTATTAAAACAAAATAAAAAAAAAACTGAAAGGTTTTAGATTTTAAATTATGTCCAAAGAGGCTTTTTTTTTAACATTTTGTGTGTTACCTTTATTTATTAAATATCATGTTCCTTGCACTTAAACCATAAAATTCAGTTCAAGAGCAATATCACAAAATAATTTTAAATTGAGCATATCTTTAGATTTTTCCGATACACAGTCTTACGCGCTGGAGATAAAAATGTTTTTTCTATACAATGTTGCCATTGCTCACTTTGAAATCCTCAAGTTTGTTAATCAAAAATTTGTTAAAGTTTTACAAAACATGAAATCGATAATTAAACAAATTCCAAATTTAAAATTTGGGCTTCCAGATGCCCATGTTCACAGTAGGATTACATCATTCAAAATTTATAGCTCTCGGTTTCATCACAACGCGAGAAACATACATACATTAATGCAAATTCTTCACTATTTAATTTTTTCAAATATAATACAGGGCGATAATATTTCGTGGCAACAATTTGAAAAGTAAAACAGACATTTAGAGTGATTTGACACAAAAATCGCAAAACGTAAACAATAGTCTCTCAGGTACAAAGCTCCCTTGGACTAAAAAAGCAAAATCTGAAAGGCCTTCAGATTTTATATTACAACCAAAGGGGTGTTTTTTTAATGTTTTGTGTGTTACCTTTATTCAATATCGTGTTCTTTGCACTTAAACCATTAAAGTCAACGACAATATTGCACAATAACTTTAAAATGAGCATATCTTTAGATTTTCCGATACACAGTCTAGCATGCTGGAGATAAAAATGCTTCTCCCCACACATACAGTGTTGCCATTGCTCGCTTTGAAATCGCCGAGTTTGTTAATCAAAATTTCATTAAAGTGTTCCAAAATATGATATCGAAAATAAAATAAAATCCAAATTAGGGCTTCCAGATGCCCATATTCGGTACAGGATTACATTATTCAAAATTGGATGGCTTCAGGTACCATTGTTTTATCACTATGCAAGAAACATACATACATTTATGCAGATTCTTCATTATTTAATTTTCTTAACACGTTAAGTCCGGCGCTGAATTTGCTGTCCCGTTCATTTTATAACTGGCTGCCTGCTGGTTTTGGTTCAGCCGGTTATCTTGATAACAAAATCGGCTTAATCCAGATTGGTAACAAAATGTTACCATAAACGTTGTTACGTATTGTAATATGTGTAAAGCTAAGCCATATTTTTGTTTAGAATGTTTCAATAAATTTCATTAAAACTAAATTTTCACTTGATCACATTTCATTGAGACTATATTTATTTTTTAACTTTAATACTGTCAGTCACGAGGACCGAAATTCATTGAAACGAAAATTTCAATGATGGTCCCCAGGGACCATGGAAAGTTCACTGACGGTCCCTCGGGATCAGACTCAATGTGTTAAATATAACACAGGGTGATAACATTTGGTGGCAACAATTTGAAAAGTGAACCGTCATTCATGGTGAATAAAAACAAAATGCCAAAATGAAATTAATAGCCCTTCTGGGCTAACACCCTTTGGGCTAATAAATGAAAGAATTTTAAAAAACTGAAAGCTTTCAGATTTTATATTACACCCAACTGGGTGGTTCCCCCCCCCCAATTTACACATACACAGACATTTCAAGAGCATTTGAATTAATGCCCCTTTGGGCTAAAAATATTTAAAAACAGTATATCGTTAGAATTTCTGACAGCACAATGGAGATAAAAATATTTTATTACGCACAGTGTGTTGCCACTGCTCGCTTTGAAATCATTGGGTTTCTTAATAAAAAATTTGTCAAAGTTTAAAAAATATGAAATAGATAATACAACAAATTCAAGATTCAGGCTTTCAGGTCCCCATATTCAGGTGAAGGACTACATTATTCAAAATTTGATAGCTCTAGGCATAGTTTTTTTTTTTCACAATGCAACAAACATACATACATTCATGCAGATCCTTCATTAAGTTCTTTAATACACGGCAACAATATTTGGTAGCAAAAATTTGAAAAATTATACAGCCGTTTATAGTAATTCCATGCAAAATGCCAAAATGAAATTAAGGAATTACAAGTTTTCAATGCACTGCATGTAGAAGCGTTAAGAATTATAAAAAAACATAACATCGCAGGAGGAATCTGTATAACTTCACATTTTAAGGCACCTTTAAATTCTGGAAAAATCATAAGGATTTGATATGCACACCTTAGATTTCAGATAATCCCAGAGGATGGACAATTGCTATAGCAAGCAAAATTACAAAAGATGACTTTTTCTCAAAGGTCTGTTGCAGCACTTGCCCAACAAAATGTGGGAGAACACAATCTTGCTTCCATACAATATTATTAATGACATTTTGCTGCTGCAATTCTTGAATTATGTAATTCTGCAATATTGTTATATATCAAGCACTTTTGATGCAGCAAGTTTTCATACTTGTAGAAATGACCTCTTTGAAGAAGTACGGACCGAGTGCAAATGTGCATGCAATGCCACCCCATACAGTCACTTTAACTTTGTGTAAAGGCACTGGTGCAACATCATGAGGATTTTCATCAGGCCAATGAATGCAGTTCTTAAGAGTTCACATTCCCCAGCTAAGAAGAAAGGCACAACATACATCTATAACATCTGCAGCAGTTACATGCTATCTTTAACATACCCGATGAGGAAAAAAATTGCAAAGTCGATACGATGTTTTAGTGAGCATTCTACGTCTCAAAGTTAAAACATCTAGGGACGCTGGAAGCAATAAGGAAACATCTGGAAAACAAAGCACAGAAGCTAAAGCACTGATTTTCAATGCAAACAAACTGCAAGCAAAACTTCTTGTAGTACGCAGGAATAAACCTGCAGTAATCATATTAACCATCTCTGCAGCAACTTCAACAGGAACACATGGTTATCCAGATCACAGTCTATCCAATGTGCATCTAGTTTCTTCATTTTTCAACTAATAATTTCAACTAAATAATATACGGTTTTCGTGGAACATGGGCCTCGGCTCATACATGGGTCTTGGCTAACAAGTCATAGAATTGCAAAAACTCACTATCCATGTACTTAAAAAAAAAAAATACCTAATGTCTCTACAGTAGTGCCCGAACTAAAAGGGTGTTGGATGATGATTCTCCTCACCCAGAATTTGGCAATTGGGTCCCCCAAAAACCCCAGTTGCCCTTTAAAAGGGGGAGTATACAAGGTATTTCTCTTGCCTTCTTAGCAACCCTTCGTGGTGTAGTGGTCAGCACACTCAGCACGCAATTCAGAGGTCCACGGTTCGATTACCGGAGAAGGCGTTGCTAATTTTTCATCTCTTCTGCTTCCAAAAAATACCTAATGTCTCTACAGCTATTTAAAGCAATACATGCAAGTCATCCTAAGTTAAAATGTCGGTTATACAAAAAATATGAAATTTTAATATATTTATATATGTATTTATATATATATCTTTCTTATTTATCTTTCTCTTATTTATATATCTTTTCTGAATGGAACTTTAAAAGGTGTGTTAACTGTGCTTTACTGTATTTTTTCTTTTAATATATTCCGTTTTCAGATGCATCGTAGTCTGGGACACAAAGTATTCTTCCGAAAGAAAAGCAATTCAAATAAATAAAATAAAATCCTGGAAAATTTATATTAATAAATATATTTAAAATGCTCGGCTCAAAATAGAATAATAAATAGAAAATTTTAAAACAGTTATCAGAAGAGACAATGCAACACACACAAAATAAGTCTAAAAATTACCTAAAATAATAACTATGACAAAAAAAAATTATAAAGAAAACTATTCGAAAAAAAATCAACGATGCACCTTCTATTTTAAACTACGCAGTTCGAATGGGTAAATAGAAATTTTTCAAACAGTTATTCGAAAGAAACCATGCAACTTAAATAATTAAAATGAAATTCAAAAAAGAAAAAATTACTTAAAATAATAACAATTATAATTAAAAATATAATATAAATAACATTATTTGAAAGAAAGAACGTTGTGATTTTTTTCCCTCTCACAGGAAAGGAAAATAGGTTGCCATATATTAAGAAGTTTGCCAAGTGAACTATTCTTGGCGCAAATTGAAAAAAAGCGCCACCATAAATTTCATACTTGTAATTTTAAATTTAATAAATTTATGAGTTTCTCTGTAATTTTCGCACCAAACTTTACAAAATATCATATTTAGGCATAATTTAAAGTCACAGAATCGAAATATGGAAAAAAATTGGTAATTTCAGAAAAAGTCTGCTTTTGTATCAAAATAATCATGTTAGAATAGAGTTATATGTAAATCTAATATATATCCTAAGTTGCGCTTTCGAGACATGAAGAACGCAATTTGAATTTCGTCAATCAGCCCAGTAAAACAGGAGATTTCGAACTGTCCCCCCCCCTTTTTTTTTTCACAGTATACTTCCTAATCACAAACACCACAAAAGCCCTTACAAAACATCCCATGATTCAAAATTTCATGTAATAATGCAAATGATTATGTCATAATAGGGTTTCCATAACATTCAACTACTCAAGTTACCATAAATGAAACAACAACTAGGTGATAAATGAAACAACAACTTTGCGATAATACAAGAGGTACCCTAAAGTCCACTCTAACCCACACTCACAATGGTAATCAACAGAAAAGCAAAAGAAATGTCAGTTAAGTAAAATTAAGGACCGTTAAGGATTAAAAAATCATTTTCAAAATATCTAAAAATCTTTAAGGATCATATAAACCCTATTTCAATGGTGGTTACAATACCATGTATTTAATTTATAATATTATAACATTTGCTCTTTAAAAATATAAAAAAGCAGATTGTTTTAAGAGGGAAGATAATGATGTCATTTGATCACAGTAATTATTTATATCTACGTTAACAAAAACACCTCATATTTTTTGGTCCTTCGAATTATTCATACCTGTACTGAAAATCCACAAAAAAGTATTGAAGAGGCAATGTACCATGATTACTGTTGGCCAAAAGCATTTATATGACAACCTACACTGTCATCAAAAGAGTATATACAAGATATGCTCATAACACATATGTATCTGAGTACGCATGGATTCGCAATTTTTAAATTAAACAGTCATTTTTCTAATTAGTACTACTTTTTGCATTGAGTACGTTTGCTTTTATTGTGATGGAACTGTGGAGTTTGCCTTCTTTTTTCATTGCACTGGAGTGTTTGTTGAAGTTTTAACACAGTCAGAAATCTTATTTTTCATTATTATTTAATAAAAGATAATTAGAAAGAACCTATTTATTTTTATAAGCAGTTTATTTCTCTTTGGTGTATAATAATGGGTGCAGAAAAATCAAAATAAACCAAAACTTTTCTCAAAATAAAAAAAAACTTACCAGTGCATAATGCTCTAAAATTTTCACATGTTATAGGGCATATATCAGAATACAATTCAACAACAATACGTCCAGCTATGAGAAAAAATTATGCGTATCAATGTAAAGTTAAACTTCTAATAATCAAGCAATAATACACTATTTAATTTATTCATAAATTAATAAAATCAAGATATGCAATACCTTTCACACTATTGATTTCAATATCCAAAAAACATCTTGGTCGCAAATCGTCAACAGTCATCCTAAGAAAAAATTAAGCACTTGTAATATAGATATAAAACTCACAAATAATATTACAAGAACAGCACTGTGAAATTAAAATCATCCAAAATTCAACCATACACTGATGTTACTTTTAGACACCTCTAAAATTAGTAATTATCTAAGCTTGAATTTTACCTACTTTTCAAATATTATGTAACTGCTCAAAAATGGACTAGACCAGAAATTCCCAACACTTTTCTTGCATTGACCCTTTTCAAAAGAAGGTTTTCTTCATCAACCCCCTTGCATTCTCTAGAATATACAACACACCACATAATCATAATGTAAATAATTACCCATAAACAACCTCAAGATTAGATTAGACTAAAAATATGAACAAAAGTTTTAAAAAAATGATTCATTATATTCTGTATTGTTTTTAATTTTACCAATATAAACAAGTTTTTAGGAATAAAATTAAAGATTCTAATTGCACAAAAATTCAACTTTCATTACTGTGGTCACTATGCTTGCATTGAATGGTATTTTAAAAGTATTTGACATAAATTTGATTAACTCTCTTAAATCACCTCATTCACTGACATAAAGTTTTTAATATTTGGCATACAATTGTTTAAACAAATTCATAAATCACCTCATTCAAAAATGTTCAACTTTCTTCTTGTTTGCCACAGTAAATTACTGATTTGACTAAAGCTTGCTTCTCCGGAGTAGGAAGAACGAAAACTCAATAACAACTTTTATTTGGAGATACTTTTCTTAGATGACTTTTAAATTCATAAAAGTAATGTATCCATGTGTTTTGACCAAGCTTTGCATCAATATTCAATTATTTGCCCCACCTTTTTTGGTAACCAACTGAATTTTGATTATGCCAATCAACTGTGGAGCATATTCAGCTATCAACCCCTTGATTATCAATGACCTCCTTTAAAATTCCATAAAATTTATTCCCAGTTAGGTTTTCTTATTGACTCCTAGGGTTTCAATACCAACCCTACTGAACTAGACTGGACAAGAAATTTAAATATTATGGATATAAATATGACACAACAAAATAATTGATTAATTTATAATTCGAAATTTTAAATTTTCAGCTACTCTTTGAAAAGATGCTATCTCTTCCAACTTTCCTAATAATAATTAATGGAATTCAGACTTCAATACATTCCCTAAAAATATTACTGTTTATGCACAACTTCAGTACTTATATTTATGTCAGAAATGGGAAAAAAATTTAAGCAGCTTTATAATTAGTAAATTTTCATATTAAGGATGAATTATTTAAAAATTTTTATTAATATATTTGTTAAAAAGAAGTTCCTATAGGCATTTTTTACAAAAATCATAACTACATCAACTTTCCTACCATTCGAAGGTTTGATTCTGAAAAACTGAATAAACAAATGAAAAATGCCATAAAAAATGGTATTCTGTTGAGCTTAATTTCAAAATTCTTCTATTACTTTATACTTGGATTATTTTCCTTCTAATAAACATCCCAAAATAGCCTGGTCACATTTGAAAGGACATAGCCAGTTAGAAGCTTAACGAAAATACACAGAATGTTTTGAGCACATCTAAAAGGAAAACAAACTTAGTAATTCAAGTTACAAATCATCTCTTAAGCCCAAAACTTAATTATTTATTTTAAAGTTCAGTTTATATAAAATGTTCAATATTATTCTAAAGAGCAATTTAAGCAAACAAAAACTTCCTTGAATAAGCACATTAAAATCAATATTAATGCATTTAATAAAATTTTATTTAAAGCAAATCTATCCTAAAAGGCAAATTTCATTAATCTATTGAATTTATTGAATGAAAATTGTATTTACACTCATGTCCATAAATTAAGGATAATTCGGAGTCACGCGGAAATCGAACTCTAAAATAAATATATCAGCTGTAAAATCACTACACACATCTTCAAGAATCATATACAAATTTCAGGAAGTAATCAGATGACACCGATGGTATGTCACATTGACAAGAGAGTGATGTATAAGGAATACAGGCAAAGAAGTAAAATTGTTCGCAGGTGCTTTATAAGCATTTCAGTGCAATAACCGAATAGTTATGACACAAAGGACGCATTTGGGTGATTTTTCACGTAGTAGAATTATCGGCCATCTGGGATGTGGGCGTACCCAACTGGAAGTATCAGACGAACTTGGAATTGCCCAGAGTGTCATCTCCAGGCTTTGGCAACGATTCCAAGATGATGGTAATGTGAGTAGATGTTACAGCACAGGTCACCCCAGACTTACAACGCCGAATGAGGACCGGTATTTGGCAATTACTGCCATAAAAAACAGGCGGAACACAGTCTCAGACCTGTCTCGTCAGCTCTCTTCAGCCACTGGTACGACAATTTCAAGGACAGCAAACCGGTGTACAGATGCTTAGGGCCGAGCTTATGGTCTATATGCTCGTAGACTGTCAGAGATGCGTTCCACTTACTGTAACTCACTGTCGCCTGCGGTTAACCTGGAGTAGAGAGCATGCATTGAGGACACCGCAACAGTGGGCTTGTGTGATGTTTTCCGACGAGTCCAGGTTTAGCTTGCAGTCTGATTCTTGCCGGACTTTCATATGGAGAGCTCCAGGTACCCGTTAGCACCAAGAAAACATCATTGAACGACACCGTTACGGTGGTGCACGAGTGCTAGTTTGGGTGGAATTATTCTGGGTTCCAGAACTGACCTGCCTGTTCAAATTGGAACCATGACAAGCCAAATCTATCGGAACATCATTCTGGAGAACAACATGTACGTTTGTTTCGAAGTGCCATGGGCGCACACCTTGTGTTTATGGATGACAACGCCCATCCTCACCGTGCAAACATCATAAGCGAATGCCTTCAATTGGAGGATATCACCCGTATGGCTGGCATCTTCCGACTGAATCAGTAGAGCAGTGTTGAGGCTGGCCGCGCGTGCAACCGCACTCCTCCAATTCTACCGGAATTCAGAGCTCATCTTTTGAGTGGTAAATCCCAATAGATCGATAATTTGATACTCAGCATGAGGAAGGAAAGTCTTCTGGTCGAACGTCAATCCTAAAAATTTTACTTCGGGCGCAACTGAAATAATTGTACCATTCAGATATAACTCAGGTTCAGGATGGGGACCTCACTTCCTACAAAAGTAAAAGTGCAACACACAGTTTTTTGTTTGGAAAAAGTAAATTCCTGTTTGTTTGACCATTCCTGGATCTTATTCAGAGCCATCTGCAATTGCCTCTCTATGTATCTCATGTCTGCCCCTCGACAGCTAATCTGTAAATCATCTAACATATAGAGATCCCAAGATGGTGGGAGGAAGTTCTTTTAATACAGAATTTATTTTTAAACTGAACAGCGTTACACTAAGCACACAGCCTTGAGGCACACCCTCTTCCTGTTCAAAAACATCCGAAAAAACAGAGCCAATCCTTACTTGAAAAGTTCTAGTGTTCAAGAAATTCTGAATGAAAATTGGTAGGTTGCCGCGCAAGCCACTCTCGTGAAGATCCCGAAGTATACCGTATCTCCATGCCTTATCATAAGCTTTCTCAATGTCGAAGAATATTGAGACAAGGTGACTTCTTCTGACAAAGGCTTTTCGAATAGATGTCTCTAAAAGAAGCATATTATCTACGGTCGTTCTCCCCTTTCGAAAACCGCTCTGATAAGGCGATATAATATTATTCTTTTCCAAGAAGTAGACTAGGCGGCTGTTTACCATCTTTTCAAACAGTTTGCAAACACAGCTGATAAGGGCAATTGGCCGATAGTTGGAGGGATTCCTCGGGTCTTTCCCTGGCTCAACAATAGGAATTACAACAGCTCTCCTCCGCGCACTGGGAAAAGTACGCTCCTTCCACACTCTATTGTAAAGTGTGAGAAGGGCAGTCAGTGACTTATAGAACAGATGCTTTAGCATTTCATAATACACGCCATCCGGACCCGGACAAGACCTATGTGTCTGCAACAAAGCTCTCCTTAATTCAAGCATAGTAAAGTCTCTATTGTAAGGCTCAGATTTGGAAGAGTTGAATGCGATGGGATTTATTTCAGAGTGCTGCTTGATAGAGAGAAATGCAGGTGAATAGTTTCTGCTGGAAGAAACGGCAGCAAATGTCTCACCAATAGTATTCGCAATTTCTTCTATGGAGCTAATCACTCGGCCATCTTTTTCCAGAAAGGAAAGTGAGTGGTCTTTATATATTCCGCATGCTTTTCGAACTCTTTCCCAAACCCGCTTACTAGGCGTAGAGGATGTTATTGAGGACACATATGAAATCCAGGAATCCCTCTGCCTTCTTACTTTTCGTGCATTTGCTTTGGCTCTTTTAAATGCTATGAGGTTTCGCAGAGTAGGATATCTACGAAAAATTCCCCATGCTTTTTTCTGTTTTTTCAGTGCTTCATGACAGTCGCGATTCCACCATGGTTTCGTAATATTTAGTATTTTTTCCTGATGTTCTAGGAATCGAAAGCATAGCTGCCTGAATAATAGTATTAGTAACAGCTTCAACAGCGTCATCGATATGCGCACATCTTCTACCATTTCATCTGTGAGCTCTGCAACGGAAGAGAAGAGTTCCCAGTCTGCCCTGTCCAGTATAAACCGAGGGAGTCTCGACATGGGGTTTGCTCCTCTTCGTGCAAGAGACACAAAAATGGGATAATGATCGCTGTTGTACAGATCATTTCCGACACTAAAAGTGCAAAATGGCAACAGAGATGGTGAACAGATGGCAAGATCGAGAGCGTGGAATGTCCTTGAAGGCTCATGGAAGTAAGTATCCTGCCCATTATTCAGGAGACAAAGGCTATGATCTTCGATCATCTGCTCAATTTGTCTTCTCGGCAATTTGTATCTTTACTACCCCAGAGCGGACTATGGCCGTTAAAATCTCCTATTATGATAAAGGGCTCAGGCAGCTGCTCTATAAGATCATTTAAATCTTGCTGATCAATGTGCTCATTTGGAGGCAAATACAGAGAAAGAAATGAAACAACAATATCAAAATTTGTTTGAGTAGCGACAACTTGGAGGGATGTCGTCAAAGAAAGTACATTTGAGGGATAATCCAGTGAGGTGAGGAGACCTACACCTCCACTGGCACGCTCACCTGCAAGGTTATCCTTCCTGACGAAAGAAAACCTCCGAAGTTTTGCATGTTGTTCTGGTTTCAGATTTGTTTCCTGTATTGCTAAGCACACAGGATGATAAGCATTTATTATAGATTTGATGTCAGGCAAATTTCGGTGGAAACCGCGACAGTTCCATGAGACGAGGGTG